TGACGCGGCTCCTGTCAAGAAATGAATAAAGACTGCTACGAAGGCAGAACACAAGGCATCATGGTGGACTTGGCCAGCAGTTGTCCATTTAACACCAAACTTTTTTTTTAAACTTGTCCTGTAACTTCAAATGCAATGTTTAATGTGCAATTATAGTGAAGTGTCTATGACTGTTGGTTTTCTGAATCCTCTTCTCTGTCAAGTTGCCATCAGTGGTGGGATTATGTGCAGACTTCTGGCAGGGAGGGAAAACACAAGCGATTTCAAACTGATCCTCAGCCTTATCATTTTACTGTTTTCAGTTACATAAGCCGTGATCGTTTATGGGTAGGTGAATCCATCGTGACATCATGGGGTGAGCTAGGTGGTGCTGGACGCTTGCAATGACGAGCAAACTCATTGGCAATGAATGAACTCAGTTCCAATGAGCGTTGACGCCTAGCTAAGCCCACTGTAGAATCTAAAACAGAATATGGAATTATTTCTGCCAATAATTATACAATATTTTTCAAGTCCCCATTTGTAGAACGCTGGGAGAGATCCCACAGTCAGACATTAATCCCAACTCATCCCAGTCAGGGCAGCACGAGAAGACAAATTAATCTGTTCAATGGCATCTCTTGTGAGGCCTAACCCGACATAAGAATATCACTTGTAATGTTTAAATTTTGTAAGTATAATTATATTCTTTATCTCTTAGCCAGGTAATCATGTCTTTGAAGTCAATGTCAGAATGTGATTAACAACAAAAAACCTGACTTTCAGATTTTCCTAATGAATATAGGTTGTTCACAGCAAATGCCTATACCAGAATTTCTACAACTGTTGATCACAGAATACTTTTGAACCCAAAAGTACCAATGAAACCACAAACCAAAGGAGTGCATGTAGCACACAATGCATGATTTCTATACTACATGTAAAAACAAAAAAGCCCTCTTGATGAAGCATTCGACTCCTCGCTGGTTGTACAGCAATTCCTCGCCAAGAAAAGCATTCCCGTCACCGTACTCTCCGGATCTCGCTCCGAGCGACTTCTGGCTGTGTAAGATTTGAGGTTTTCACAGCGGTGAGTATGAAGATTTCTGTCTTCTGGGTTGGTAGATGTTTACCAACGTTTCAGAGGTCATACTGCCTCCATCATCAGGGCGATGAGTATGAAGATTTCTGTCTTCTGGGTTGTTGCGCTGTGTAGTCTGGTAGATGTTTACCAACGTTTCAGAGGTCATACTGCCTCCATCATCGGGGCGATGTCTTCTGGCTGTTCCCTACTCTGAAATGGGCCTCAAGGGGACGCATTTCGCGACCATGGAGGACATCACATCGAATGCGATGGCCGAACTCCGGAAGATTCCAAACGAAGCCTTCCGCCGGTGCTTCCAACAATGGCAGGATCGATGGAGCAAGTGTGTGCGTGCGCAAGGGTCCTACTTTGAAGGTGATTAGGTAAGCGTTGCCATATGTCCTACCATTACAGTGCTATACTACAATTCCGAGAACTTTTAGACTGCCCCTCGTATTTCAAGCTCCGCTTAGATGTTTTATGCTGCATAGTAAACCTGAATTTTTCACTTCTATCTATTGTAGAGCTAATGTATCAACAGAAGTGTTTGAAAATGTGTCTGTAATTTCTACTTCTGAAGAAGAATAATCATTTTGAGACTCTTCAAAAGAAATGTATTCTACTTCACCATCACAGTTGAAGTTGATTACACGCTGCACACAAAATGAAATGTTTGTCACATCCGTGAACACAACTAACTGAACGAATCTTCCAAATACAATATATAAGCACTGTGACAAACAGATACAAAGTACAAACAAAAATAAAATCAGTCAATGTTGACAGTGAACTACCGATTACTGGATCCATCCAGCGAGCACCAGCTCAAATTATTGCTCAGAATAAAATAAACGGGGATAATAATTCACAGCTGTTTCATAAAAACTACTATGAATTAGCTTCGGATGATACATACAAGACACAATTTTATACCCAAATCAATTTAGAACAAGGGAAGTCATTAATAATCTGAACATACAAACACTGCAAGCACCTCAGACTAGAATCTTAGTCTTTCGTGACATGAAAGATGACCGACCTCATCATAAATATTATATTTTAGTTTATATAATTTTTAGGAATAACAATATCAGGAATTCTAAGTACTAAGAATTAAAAATCAGATACTCCCAAGAAACACAACTCACTTGAAAGTGCCAAAGCTTCCCGAAAAGTATGCAGGTTGTCATCGGCATTATTACACGCGGTGTCCACACTGGCATGGTGGTGCAGATCATGATGGTGTGCTTCCATTTGATGGGAATTTGGGGAACCATGACGCTCTGCAAGCAACATCCTTGGCCGAGGCGAATTTCTTTACATACAAGAGAAAAATATTTTTTGTATCAACATCAAGATATTATCACTGGTTTCTTTTTTTATGGAACTCCACATTTCAGTTATACTGCATTTGGCTAGGATCTGACTACCGTGTCTTCCAAAGTTTTTGTAAGCTCCTTCAGGAAATCCAGTCCATATTTCACTTCCTTAACAATCTCATTATTATCCTTCCATCTACATCTATATCTAGCAAGTATATCAACAAGTTTACTAACTGAATGTTTTTTTCTACAAAAAATATTCACGTGAACAATTGCATTGCAGGTACAAATGAATTGTTGGAAAGCTAGACTCACTATCTACGACCAGACATTTTCCTTTCATTCAATTAAACATCAAAAAGTGCAAAAATGAACTCATAATCTTAATTGCATCTGTATTTTATATTACGTAAAACTTCTTGAATTACATGCCATATCTAAGAAAATCCAGTTAAGTTTGAGCTCCACATTAAAGGTAGGTTTCTAGTTGACAAATAAAAACAACAACTACTGCTTGATAGCTTTTACTGTAGAACAGCAACGCCATATTTTACTGGAATCTGAGCTGTAGATTCAGAGATGGAACATGCTGGCAGATGACATCCCCATTGTGTATTCACTTTATGCATAGAACTTACATAAACTGGAAACATGAACAATGACAGTTGATCACTCTTCAGTACCCCTGCTTCCACTTCAACAAAGTTCTGTTTATGAAGGTAAAATTAGACAAAGATTACGGCTACAACAAGACAAACCAAAAGAATCTGTAACAATTTTTCTTATTTCATTAACGTTAAATCGTGGCCAATAATGTTGATGCTATGGGCAAACCGCGTTTGAGAAGCCTGTCAAATCGGAAACATGTGAGACAAACATGTAGAAAACAGCTACCATATGGTGCCTTTCACAGATTAAAAAAAAGTAACACTGTCCCACTACGTGCTACGTAGGCACTTGGAGGGAAAGGACCCTACAGCTCCTACTCATTCTTGACCTCAGCACTATATGGGGGGCGAGTGGTCAGCATCACGCCCTGGCCGTGCTTTACCCCTGGGTAAGGACCCCGGTACCCATTGGATAGGAGGCTGGGTGGGCCCGTCAGTCAGTCTGGATGCAGAGGTTAGAGCAAAAATCCTCAAACCCCAGTCATCCAGTCCGTAGTCACTAAACTGTCTAAAAACAAACAGTTGAACACTTCAGGGAGCTGTTGCACATGAAACCAAACACGGTAGAGACATAAGTGACAAGCAGAAACAAAGCAGGTAATTTGTGCAATCTTTCCCTCTGACCACAGACCAAACTCAATGTTAGCAATGAGACGAGGAACTCTCGCTAAGGACCCGGGTACCCATTGGATAGGAGGCTGGGTGGGCCCCAGTCAGTCTGGATGCAGAGGTTAGAGCAAAAATCCTCAAACCCCAGTCATCCAGTCCGTAGTCACTAAACTGTCTAAAAACAAACAGTTGAACACTTCAGGGAGCTGTTGCACATGAAACCAAACACGGTAGAGACATAAGTGACAACCAGAAACAAAGCAGGTAATTCGTGCAATCTTTCCCTCTGACCACAGACCAAACTCAATGTTAGCAATGAGACGAGGAACTCTCGCTTCACAAACATCCTAGATTTTCTAACATCATTGTCAGAAAGGTGCTGCGTGCAGGTCAAGTTATACATCAACGATAAAACAGCAACTTTACATACTTCAGGGGAGGTGCAGAGAATGTAGAAACAAATATCAGAACAAACAATATCATCACACATGGAACTGCAAGATCTATACTTTACTTCACCACATAATGGACGTGACAAGCAACACTGAATTACAAGATGCAAACTGAGGTCAGCTCACGCTAGAGCCTCAACACCAGCTACTCGACAGCGTCGTAGCTGTGGGGGTGAGACTCTGAGTCAAGATTTGAGTCGGATAGGTTAACAGCCATTTCAGCGACACGCTCTGTTTGTTTGTGTTGGGCGTAAGATTCATTTCAGTCGTTGAATTAATATGTAAGCACGTGTGATAGGACTGTCAGCTTCAGTGTCTGGGCGGAAGCACGCCACGATCTGATAACGGTTTGAACTGACTTCGTGTGGTAACGAGGCGATGCAGCAGGCAGTGATAAATGGAACAGCGTCCAGAGGGTAGCAAGGTGGAGACGGTAGGAGCGCAGTGTTTGGGGGAGGTGGCATTTTGGCATAAGCGAAACGTGGATTAACAATTCTACGATCCTGAGGAATACGGACAGCTCACGAAATACAAGTCTGCTTTGATTGAGTTTAAGAAATTGGATCTCATTTTTACATTTATCGAATGTAATATTATTCACGCCTTATTTGACACGCACTGAATTTAATGTTGTTTGAGATTAAGAAATCGGACCTAAATTTAAATACTGGGATAGTGGCTGAGCACTGCGGGTCCCAAATTTTCGTTGGCTTGATCTATAGACATTTTGGTAGGAATCCTTGGACGAGAAATTTAATTTTTTATTTTATTTAGTGTTCTGTCTGAGGACAGGTCCATATGAACAGGATCCTTCCCTCCTTTTCTCGGCCTGGGACCTGTTCATATACGTTCTTGGCAGATGATTCAGAAGTGGTTTGCCATTGCCTTCTTTTGTGTGTGAATGGAGTAATTGTTGGGATGCCATGGAGGAAAACTCCGTGTTGCCTAGACCACGGCCTTGCCCAACACAAGTTATAAATTCGGGCACCGCCGGGAATCGAACCCGAGACCCCAGGATTACAAGGCCAGCGTTCTAACCGCTAGACAACCGTGGCATTGAAAGTAATGTAATGTTATCTTCAATGTCATCCATCTTGTTACGAAAGCGGATTGTTGACGGCAGTAATGTAACACAACAATGCCGAGTAAACAGATGACATTTCTTAGGTAATATAACAATGCACACAAGCTGAACATTGTTGTCGGTCCATATTTACACTTTCTTGTCTTACACATTTTTCTGTCACTTTTTCATAACGCTTTTTTGCGGAATGACACTGACCCTTCCATATAGACGTATTTACGTCAAAAAACCAGCATATTACAAAATGTATATCATTACTAGCTTCTCAAGAAGGAATCTGCTCCAGGAAGTCAGAGTTGTCATATGTCATACAATTCAATAATCTGATATGAATTTCTTTATGTATGTTTTAATTAAATATTTTACTTAATTGTATAAATTTTGGTGGCATTATTCGAATAAGTAAAAGTGTCACAAATATTTCCAGCAGTACAATGCACTAGCACAAGCAGAAAATTCATTGCAGGAAGTACCGACTGTATTCAAAGAATGAATAATCAGCAGAAAACAACAGCCATCATATTTCCTAGATGTGAAAGTATGTAACTTTTATCTGGGTGGAAACTAAAAAATTAAAGTCTACAGAAATCCATACACTGTGAAGGCTTTACGTGTTGAAACCAAGAACATCACTGAAAACGTTTTCAACCACAACTTCCAGTCAGATCATGCAATGGCACAACTTTCTCACACTTCACAAGCCACCAAATAGCCAGCACCATCATTCTACAGAAAGATCACAAAGGACTGAACCCCTGTTTGTCTCTTTGCGGGTAATACTTTGCAACATAAGAATATATTAGCTATTGAAACAAATTACACAGAACGAAACAATACATTTATACAAATGTATTCCTCTCAAAAGTGACATGTCATAATAATCCTACACTGAAATCATTTAGTTAAAAGAAAGATTATATCAAGGGAAAATTTAAACTGAGCAACTTCAAAGTCTCATGTCTAAATTTATATGAAATTCTCTTTGACTATGTAATTATGAACTTCTTGTCATATTTATAGCCACAAAAAACAAAATTATGGCTAAATCACAGTCTTATTCCAAAGTTTATGCACTTATAACTTTCAAATGTTTCAATCACATTACTTTCAAATAAAATCACAACCATGTCAAAACTGTAAATTTCAATGAACCCAAGAAAATATAAAGCCTCTGATAAATTTAAATTCATTATTTTTCAGCATAAAATAATGTGTTCTGCAACAGTTGTAACATATGTGATGCTGACTCCTCTTGAAGATGACTCTGAACAAAGACATGCAAGTATATGAACTGCGAAAGGTTTTTAATCACCTATGATGATGGGGTCGTGGTGGTGGAGATTTTCCTGCTAAATAAGCCAACAGATCCTCCCGCCGAATATGTCTACGTTTTTTACGTGCCCAACTAAGAATTTCTTTGTTCCGCCGCTGGTAGCCACACTGAATGCCCAATTCACTTGTACGCCGAATAGCATCTGAAGAGTCTGAAACATAAGAAAGTAAAGTAATATTCTGACTTGAATTTGGTTCCAACATTAGCCAATTTGTGGTCTTTCAAACTTCCTCCCATCACTGAAGGTCATTTCCTTCACACGACAATTTTAATTTTTACAATAAACATTTACCTTTATATAAAGACGTTACGGTACCAGCGGCTGTTTGAAAAGGTACCCACAACGACACACCCTGAAGTCGGTCTGAAATTTTTGTGAGAAAAAAAAGGATAGCAGTGGTAAGTGATCAATAGCTACAACACAAAATGGAAGAAATTGGCAGACATTTTAGGAGTCATTTTTAAATAAGGAGCGTTTGCATATTAACGATTTTTCACCTTTGTACAACTGTGCTATAGATGTAGCAGTGTTCTGAAAAGAAAACCACACTTTTTGAAGTGCCAAGTCTCGTTCACTTTGAAGCTGCCCTTCATAGTCAGGTTCACTTTCAAGATGTTGAACGCATTGTTGCTCCCAATTAGTTATCCAAAAATCTACAATTGGGTCATCTTCTTTGTCCCTATCTTCATTCATCTTATATCACAAAGTCTTATTAATCGGCCCCACCGTACTACGTTATGTAAACGACAATGACGGCTCTACTTTCGGGAACTGTCCAGCTGACGACACCGCTCCACCACCACCAAAATCATGAAGGTGAGTTCACTTTCATCACAAATTCCCACACAGCCTGCTGGGAACACGATTTGCAGTCTAGGAAACATTTGGCGAACAACTTTCATCTATCCTATAAATCTTCAATCTGCTTGTATTACACTCTCGTCTATTGTGCTGCCATCTCTAATTGATAGGTATCAAATACTGATTGTGCCTCGTAATTTACATTTATTCTTTACAGCTAATTCAACAAACTGATTAGGTGAAGGTCGCTTAATATGCTAACAAATTACTTGGCTTTTATGGAATCGGAAGGTTCATTACAATTCTCACATGTTCTGGTGAACATTTTCCATCATCCAATACACTTCACATGTGTTTATCAAATCATCTAATTTACTGCCTGCTGTTTGGTTATATTATGTATTATGACTTTAACTATAACTACTTAAGTTTTCTTTTTGACAAGCAGATATGCTAATGACAAAAAATAAAGTAGCGTGAGAATGCTAAAAAATTTCACACTGACTCAAAAACAAATGCATATGAACAAAATATATCAAAATTCTTTGTAAGTATAATACGTCAAGAATTACATTTAAGTAGAATACACAATCAACACATTTTAATATTATAATCTGCCTTTTTGACTACATTTATAGGTGAATGTTCACCATCATCTGGCCAATATACCCTACAGCCAATATTTTTGGATTTCTTCAATTAATACATACTGTGATGTATATCTCCAATCTTTGTGAATGGGGTGAGTATATTCACACCTGTAACGTTATACAGTTGTATAAGGTATCAATAACTATTTCTGATATATCTTCATGCCAAAATGTAGAATACTCTACAAAGGCTCAGTATATTAAATGATGACATTTTAGTTTCATTTTGTCAGAAACTCTGATGTTGCTGAACTAACTTTTTCCATCGATAAAACAAGCAAATTATGCAATAACACGTTTTTAAAATTATATTGAGTTAGGTTTATGTGGGGGAGAAAAATTACAGGTAGAGGATCAATTAACCTTCTTACCGACTGCACACCGATACCACCATTGAGACTACGTTATACATTTCCAGACAGAACATAGATGACTACATGATGATGGCAGAACAAAAGCTCCCGACATGCTTTGGGTTAACCTTCTGAAACACAGTTAATAACAGTCTGATTTTCAGAAAAGTTGCGTTGGTAATTCGTATTTGCATGCTCCGTGATTGTTGCTAGTTTATTTCAACATATATATATAGTGGAATTCGTCGTGATAGAACCAAATAAACAAGTTAATTTTATAGCATATGAATTTATTGTATTTTACAGAATCGAATCTGTCTTTATTTTATATATACATACAAAGAACATGAATATTCTTCCAAAGAAACGGTAATATAACGAGTAAAAACAATATTATTACCTTCTAGTATCTGATAAATTACTTTGTACCAAAGTATGGTTATGAAGAATGTAAACAATTCAGTTTAGCTCTATAAAACTTATGGTGATGAAACATGCAGTTTTGTTTTGTGTATGTGTACGAGAATTTTTAATGGCAAAGGCCATGATAGGGCAATTTAATAGAAACGTGATCATAGTTTTGAACTCCCGTATGGTCACTGACAGATGTAACGAAAGTTAATAGTCTGACAATAACAATGGTACATTCAACTTAAAATATTTCAGTGCTATGCGATTTCTCTAATTGTATTTTATGCTAAACAATAACATTTAGGAGCATTAAAATAATATATTTGGCACAGGAAGATGGCTGTCTTCTGGGTAGTACTCCATAGTCTAGTAGAAGTTTACCAGCGTTTCCGAGGTCCTTGTGATGAGTCCACATTGCCCTGATGATGGACCCTTAAAACACTCGAAAACATCTACCACATTACATGGTGCTACAACCCAGAAGGCAACCATCTTTGCCCTTGCCACTGTGATAACCTCAGATCCTATATATTTGAAATAAAAAATACTGGTATATTTATTTTACATTTTAAGCTTCTCACAATGTAAAGCTGCAAGCTGTGGGTTATTTGTCTTGTGCATAAATCTGGCATTGGAAATATATTTTACAGATGGCATGTGAGGACAAGAGAGAATATGGCCAGAGTGCGGCGTGACGAAGAAAGAGTAGCTGCTGAAAAAGAAGAACAGGAGAGGCGTACACAGTTAGCTGTACGTAATCAAAGAAATGCAATCTAAAATTGTTTAGAGGTTCTAAAATACCGTTCAGTAGAACTTCCAATTCAGATACTGTCTCCTAATCCTGTCAAGACCCACCAAAGCCTCATTTGTATCAAAGGAGTACCATATTATTTATGTTGGTGTTACAGCAGTGCATGAAGCTTGATATTGTGTATGCTACTACTTATACATGACCGTCTTGACCGAGAGGTTTAAACAGGAAATATGTCTTGAAGTGAGGTTCAAGTTAACTGATTCTCTGATTCATTGACACATCAAGATCAAGGTTGCACATTGTCCAATATTATTAGAGTTCATCTTTCTTGCTAGGAAAAAGATTAACGTATTAATGTTAAATTTACATGTTCATTTTGAGTTTAGATGGATTAAATATATTGAACATGATATAGTTTTTAATATCTCTTTGAAAATGATATTTCATGTTTGCCTGTCTTGAAGAATGTGTCTATGAAAGTTATTTTATCCTGTGCAGGAGGGGGAAGCAAGAAATGCAGCATTGCGAAAAAAATCGCTGTTGAGGCATGGACAAGTTGTTCCAAAATCTGAAGAACCCCAAGGGCATATAAACTTATTTGAAGATCTTGAGAAAGGGGAGATTGTGTCAAATTCAACAAATACCGAGTATGAAAAGGAGAAAAAGGATGAACGGGAGAAATATGAGAAGCAGATAGGATACTTGACGTACCTTGGACAAGATACAGTAGAAGCGACTGGATCTGTGTCATGGTATAATAAGGTGGTATACCTTTGGTTACTTACACCCCTTTGGCTACCATGTGTATAACTATTGAGTTGTAAACATTATTTCATACCCAATTTGTAGGTGTGTTTAAAACGTTTCCATACAAATTTGTAGAAATATTTCTAGCTCTGGTGGTCCATTAATTATCACTTCAACGAAGGTAAATTAAATTGTTTGCATGGCCACTGTATTGTTTTACTTTTTAAGAAAAATTCCTTCTTAAAAGTTGCATATTTTTTGAAGACCTAATACTGTATACCATTTTATACCCTTGTAATAAGTGGTGATTGTATCACACGCACCTAACAATTTTCTTCATTTGGCATGTGTTTATAAGAAATTAAAATGTACTTGGTTGGAATGTCTTATTATGTCAAAAAATTTGTATTAAACTTCATAAAAAATGGCAAATTGGTTAAAAGTTTGGGAGAGGGGACACAGATAACAGGGTTATCCCATAATCCTGCAGTTTTGTTAAGAAAGAAAAGAGGCTAAAATGAAAAGGTCTGATTTGTCCAGGAAACATCCCACATTTCACCATTCCAAAGATCAACTGGTCAATGCTGTTGAAGGAAATAATTGCTGTTTACACTGAGAATTATAGAATGCCTATAAATACAGAATCCATAGTGACTGATTCTTAAATCAGATGGTACAAATATTTCCTACTGGGCTTCAGAGGGTTAATTTATTGAAAAACAGTTATTTAAATCATAAGGGATTAACATTTGAATTTTGACATGAAAATCATTGGTCCAGTAGTGTTTTATATGATGAATCTGAGACTTTTAAGACTATTTTTTTGTGTTTTATATGATGAATCTGAGACTTTAAGACTCATTTTTACCTTGTAAACATAGAACTCTGTATTTATTTTTCACAAATCATGGATCATTCTTTGGCATTACAGTGTCTGCAATTCAATTGGTCGTATAGTCATACTTCAAAAAATGCAGGAAGAAAGAAAGAAAGACCACACGTCAAAATCTTATACACGATTCATAGTGCTGCCCATAATAGTATGTTGAAATTTTTTGTTATCCTACTGAAAGAGCATTTGTAACTTTATAAAACCCTGTTTGATATTACAGCTTCCTGACAGAAGTTCACCTGAAAGTGATCGCAAAAAGATTAAACTTCTAGGTGACCCATTGGATGATATTAAGCACTATCTGGGCCTTCCAGAAGTCAAAACTAATAGCAGGAAGAATAGAGATGAAGAGAAGAGAAAATGTACAGAGAGTAGCACAAGGAGGGCAAATAAATCAAAAGAGAAGGCATACAAACATAAAAGCAAAAAGAGATTACAGAGAAAAGATCCCAGTACAAATTCTGGAAATGCCTCATCATCTGAAGTAAGTAAGCTTTTGGCTTCAAGCTTCCATGGCTACAAACCCAGTAAAATCTTCCTGGGTCATCAGCTGCGTTAAGTGGTGAAAAGAAATCAATGTTTTAGGAACCGCCTGTCCCCATGGTTCCAAAAATGCTGGTTTCTTTCTGGATGCAGATGGTGCTTCAAAAGATCTTATAAAGGAAGCTCTTCTTACCAAATTATGGTTTCAAGGATCATTAATTAGACCCGGAGTACTGCTTCATGACTTGTGTGTTCGAGACGGGCAAGAGAGATTCGTTACTTAAATTATGCAGTTTCAATTGCAGAGGTTACTCATTGTCAATTGAAAAGGCAATAACCATGGATAAGGATTTGAAAAGAGGTGATTGTGACCTGTTTCAAGATGTTGCCTTAGCATTCACTTGGAGGAAACCATAAATATCCTGCTAAGATTGCTGGTAACCCAGCTGAGATTTTAATTGCGTATTCTCTGATACAAGTATTTTAAATACATCAGCAAGATTGAGGTTGATACTTCATAATTATAGCAGTTTTACAGGATAATATAGGATGTGTGATCCTTTCTAAAATTTAAATTTGCAGTTTGTCCCAAAAATTCATGGACATTGAAAATCTCAGAAACTTAAGTCCAGAAAATGTAAACTTAATTTCAACTGAATTTTTCACATTGAAGGCTTGACATAATAAAGGATGAGCACTAAAGTATTTCACAATTTCAAAATTATACAGAAAACAAATGCAGCATACTTACTACTCCACACCTACACCAATCAATGAATAAGTCTCAAAGTTTTGTACACAACTCCCAGAAAACTGGTATGTGCTCTGCAAATAACACGGCAGATGTCAAGACGATAATTTAACCCATCCCAAACTTTCTGCAGAATGTGCCTATTGTTAAAAGCTATGTAACTTGTGATTCAAATATCTTGTACCGGGCATAAATGAATACTCAGCTTGGTGGTTCCATGTGAAATTGTTTGCAAAATGCACATTTTACAGCTTTCCTCACTAACTGCATAACAAAATAACTGTTGTAGGGTATCAGTTATCAAAACTAGTGGCATCTAGTGGAGGTATGCAACAACAATAATCACCTGGGTCATTTGAAACAAAACTTTCAGGGTTTTTGTATCAGTTGGTGTGGGTGTGAAGTTCTCAGTTTGCCGCATTTGTCTTCTGTATCATTTTCTTACATTCTATGTAAGAACAACTGTGACTTTCCTATGCCATTCTAGCACATGTCCCAAAGCTGAAGGTCATCTAAGGAACCATATCCTTACAACAGATTATTAAGAGTCCAGGCCTTTCATAGTTTCTCCACTCACTTTCTTCGTAGGGATTCTTGGGTCTGGTGTCTTACAAGAAGGCATAGCTATCGTAGCCATTTTCCTCTCTGCTTTTACGTAATTAAAGTTAAGTATGTTGAATAAAAATACTAAACACATTTAACTGTTATCACAATCCTAAGGTTCAGTGGCACTAAACAAAGCAGCTTACCACTTCACTGTATCCCCATAACCCATCTTACAATGTTACTACACAACTACCCATTTTCTTCTATTGCAGAATGCCGATGAGACTGAATCCAGCTCGACAAAAGATCCCATCAATTTGGAGCACCTGCGGGCACAACGGCTGAAACGAGAACAAGAAGAACGGAAACGATCAGAAGCCCTTTTGGCTAGACTTCGTGGAGAACCTGATCCAGAATCCAGTAAATCAGACGCAGTACCTTCTGTAACACAGTGCTATAACTCTCAGTTCAACCCTCATCTGGCACGGCAGAACAAGCTGTGAATCAGCTGTTCCTTCCTGCTCATCAAGCAGAAAGAACATTCTGTACATACTGGTGTGTGTGATCCAGGCTTCTTTTCTTGTAAATGAAAATTGCAAATTGAAAATCTATTATAAAGATTTTGAAGAGTACAGCATAATTTTTACTTCCTTTCAACTCCATGTCTCTCCTGGATATTTCCATCACATTCATATGGGATGCTGCACATACGATTCTTTGATTCCTTATCTGACTTGGAGGCACTTCAAGATGAAGCTGTAAAATTGTCTCTCTTAGTTACACCTTGTGTGTAAATATGCAAGGAAAATCACCTTGGAATATATAATTCGTTTATCGTGCATTTTTCTAAACTGTATTGTAGTATCCCAGGTCCCCCAGAGTCGTTGGACTCTTGACCTTTGGACTAAGGATAAACTACTGCAGATGAGCCGAACGGATGTTTCTGTGTTCAGGTGGCTGTGGAGCTGCTGGATAAGGCGTCACTTAAGAGTGATATAGCTCAAAGTGCACTCTTTGTATTCGTGGTGGAATGTGTTTGACGGTTTTAAAAATCCTTTCCAAGTAGCATGATTTTGTCATCTGCTTGGTGTATTAGCGAAGTATTGTTGGATAAGTAAGTAAAGAATTTACAGTTTTTCGTGTATCGTACTTATAGACTGAAGTGAAGCATATTTTGTTTTGGGTATTAGAACACTGTTTCTAATTATTAATATGCGTTAGCAGATGCTCCAGGTTTGTTTGTGTCTTGTTAAATATGCAAGGAAAATCACCTTGGAATATATCTGAAGTTAACGGAATCTTAATTCGTTTATCGTGCAATTTTCTAAACTGTATTTATTGATGTATTCAGTATTCTGTTACAAGTTGCTTCTTATTCATATTTATTCTTTTGCACCACTTTTTCAGTACATCTTGCCACATTTGAAGATAAGAATAAAAATGCCTCCTCGCAGAACAATAACTCCACCACTATTGCAGGAGCTATGTTTAATGGAGGTGATGAATTACCTTGAGAGGGAGATATTATTCTGTAGCCAGGTGCGACGTTATGAACATAATTCCCTTTTGTTACGCCGAAGAGGTATTAATGCTGACAGCCTTATTGCAGAACTTCGAGGTCATCTGGATGTTCTTCCCCCGTTACTTAGTGGGATGGTTCGACAAGGATTGACAAACAATATATAGTTTTATTGTGAGGGATATATATATATATATATATATATATATATATATTAACAGTCTCATATATCAGTAATACTATATCAATATATTAACTTTTAATGAAGTCCACTGTAAGAACCGCCTAATTATTTACCTTTATAACTGTTTATAAGTATCCTCATCTGAAGCCCAGTTCTCCGTAAGGATACCCCTAACATTGACAGCATTACGAGTATTAAAATAGCAGATGAAGATCATAGTTCTCTTGCACAACCAAATCCTTGAGTCTGCGAAATTCCCAAGAACGTATGTCCCATGATCCTAGTTCACCTAAACGGATCAGACGTGGACAGCATGCTAAAAGCATATCTACACTTTTCTTGGTCAGCTCCACATTCTTAAGTATCAGCTGTCAACAGAAAAATTAACAACACACAATGTACACAAATAACCAGTGAACATAGTAACTTTTGTTTTATAAAGCAACAGAATTCTAGATCAACCAAACAGTTATTAGCTTATGAAGGCCTCTGATTCATGGAGTTAGTTACAGATGTTAACACAGAAGACTGTCAGAATTTCTACACAATGTGCACTAAGCTGATCAAATCAAAGACCAATTTTCAGGTTTAATGACAAACATTACTCGTGAAGCAAACATTCCTCTTCTACATGGGGTGACAGGAATCCTTATCATCTCCCAAAACCTGACACATTCAACATTTCTCCTGTTTGGAAAATACTTTGCTTATTTCCTGACCTCTCTGTCTGAAGCAGGAGCATCATTTAAGTATTCACACTTGTTGAGCCATTCATCATTCAATTCTGCATTTAAAACTGCAGAACTGTCATTAAACCACAATATACATAACCTCACATAAAATGATTTATGCCAATTTCTTTCAACCTAGAACTGCGTTCTACAATCCACCAGCTTTTATTTTTAGAATCATACCAGTGAATGAAACTGCACTGCACTTTAAAATATTATTTATATTATTACCACTTCCAGAAAATGCAATGAATATCTCCTGAGCCAGTAAGCTAGGTCATCATCTTTCAGGTTTTGGATCCGTGTTATTTCAATACTACGTAGCTTTGTTCCATTCGTCATGAACATAGCTGCGCACTCCAACGAAATGGTACATGTCACCTGAAACGGAGACAAGTTAGCTAACTTTCACTGAAGGAATGACACTGTAAAGTAAATATAACCACATCCTTGCTTGTAGTTTATTAGTACCTTAAGTTCCTGGAGTTCAGTATAGATGAGTGTCCTGTTAGTTGGAAGTGTAACAGTTTCAGAAGGTACCTCAGAAACAATCAGTTTCTCCAGAAGACGACAGCATTGGCCCACAACTCCCAAATCAACACCAGTGCTTGATATCTGGGGAAAAACCAACAAAAAATTAATTATAATATGGCAGAATATTAATAAAGTGAAATTCTAAGGATCAAAAATTCCTTAGCTGTAAAGGATTTCTTTGTAAGGATGTTCCATGAAAACATACTGTACTTATAAGCGTAATTCTCGCCCTCAAACAATTCATGCACCCTCATTTTTCACTGCAAAATTAAGAAAAAATCCTCAAATGTTTCAAATTCCTTGAATATTTCAGACCAGATACGTGGTCATTGAGGTTACATAAAGAAAAATTACAAATGTTAAAATAATTATTATTGTAAGGATTTGTAAGAATCTCGTCCTTACCTACTTGAACAGTGGTAAGAACAAAAATCCTCACTAGATAATTATACTTCCAGTCAATAGTTAGCCCAATGCAAGTTTTAAAATTGAAGATTCAGACAGTAAACATTTATGCACATACACCAGAATACTACAGCAAGACACTCCTAACAGTGAAAACCTCAAATCTTACTGGCAGAAGACAGACAACGGATGATCTTACTACAACATTGATAGCTTGTAATAAGCGGCAGAGGGCACATTTTTCATAACATTCCCACCTGCAACTGAATGAGGTTCGGAGTGTGCTTCAGCCCAGCCAAGATGTCTTCAGAGTGGATATTCTCCAACGTTAAACTCCTCAGCATTCTAAATGCTGATAAATTCTGTAATTAAAAAATAAAGACTTCACATCCTTTATCCTTCCTCTATTGTAAAATCATGAAGATGTATTCTACATTTCTTCATATTTGAATATTTTCCCAATGAATCAGGTTATCCCATAACCAAATTGCCTTTACTTGAATAGGTGCAATAATCCTGCACAAGCTTTGAGTACAATGGTCAGAGGTGAGAAAAAACTCAACTTCTATGATCAGAACCTGTTACAAATTACAGTCTATTTCCCTTCCTCACCTTGGGACTTCAAAAAGTCATTTACCACACCAAAAGAAGGGAACATTTTTATCTTTTTAACAACTTCAAGGAGAATCTGAGGTATAACACAATCACATCTGTTCCACAATACACTAAGACACCACAATCAGTATATCTGACACGGCGACAAGTTCACAGCAATTATACACCAATAGCAAGTTTCTCAGTCCTGGCTATGGCACATATTGGTTGCTGATTAATTAATTTCATATCCAAAAACCATACAATCTTAAATTAAACTACTGAATAACAGAAGACAGCAACAGACAAATGGCGCCCTAAACTACACAAATGGAAGCAAGCATACTCCATCTGATCCACTTTTCACATACACACAAATGTAAGTGCTTAAATTATCACAGCCACCACATTGATGACAGATAATACGTTTTACCTAAAACATATTGCTAAATTTAACAAACCCTCTTCAAATGTTAATTGCATACAAGGAACACCATCTTCATGCATTTTAACTATAAAGGCAGTGTTAATAAGTAATCAATCATAACAAAATTAAACTCGCATAATTTTCATAACTAAGACACAAGTCACAAACTCACATCAAAATTAAGTCTCCGTTGCGCACAAGAACCAAAATAAAGGGATTCTAATGCTGGACAACAGTTGGCCAGAACATTCAGCCGAGCTTTGGAATATCCACGGTAGAATGCCTGGAACATTTTGTAGAAATATCACCAGATTTTATATTGGTCTATAATAGAATTAGAATAAATTTTGGACATCACCCAACCCTGAAAAAAAAATTGTAAATGCTGGCTCAGAGCAATGCATACCAAATCTCTGTATATATAATACCAACAGAACTGAACATTTCACCATTAGCACCTTTTATGTTATGTTATTAAATTAGCCAAAAGAATAAACAGACAAGATCTCATCAATCATCCAAAAAAAAACAACTCATAATCCTGATCAAAAGGGAAAATACCCTTAGAAAACATGTTAACATGAAACAATTTTTTCAATATCTACAGTTAGCTTACTAAACGCAATGTTCGAAGGGGTGATGGTAGTAATTCATTTAGAGAGGCAGTATCAATGGCACAGGTTATTAAACATCCAAAGTAATGATAGAATTACTATGTTACAAGGATAGAGAAGGAATATTTGCAAGTACTATCCTAGAACTCTCAACTGAAAGTACATAAGAAAATATAAACTCTTTTAGATCTGTTCAAAAACAAACAAACATAATTCAATAATTCATAGTTTTGTGTATTCTACTGGGTAAAATCTATTTACGAAGATACAAACAATTGGAATGTATTCTGAACTCAAAACGAAATTATTTTTCTGTAATCAGAAGAAAAGAAGTTAAGGAGAGTCATACATGTTTCAGTTTAAAGCTTAGCCAAGGTCTACACTCCAGTATACACAGCCACCTCATTCCACCAGCTGCAAACGTAAAGTTGCCAAGTGAAGTGAGGTTGGGTATCACCCTCAGCACGAAGGCTGCACCTTTGGCTCTGACTTGTGTTTCTCCAAGGAGCAGCACCTCCAAGGTCTGACACAGCGGGTTCAAGTCTTCCTTATACATACTGTCCTATCAACAGAAATTTCACCCTCATATGAGTACACCGAATTATATTTCACAAAAACTGTTTGACCAATCTGACACCTGTACTTTTGATACATATAAAACCACAATAACTGTACTTCTGGATTAGCACTGCATAGACCAATTTTATTTCCCCACGTATCGGAGCGAGGTTGGTCAATAACCAACCTCGCTCCGATACGATGTACTTCTGATCTCTCCTCTTACAACTTCAAGATTACTTCTCTGACCAATATACGCAGCATTATCATCACTCCGACAATATGATTGTATCAATAATATTTAATACAACAACAAATGTTGATACAATGTGAAAAATGAAGAAATGATACGAAAAATTAAAAATTAGTAATTGAATTAAGAGTTTATAACATACACCTGATGACGGCTCTATGAAAGCCGAAACATGTCGAGAATGTTCCATATGTAAATCGAGTACTCGATGCGGAACAAAGGATAATATTTTAACCATTTAATTATCTTACATTACTTTATTGTGATTGACGGACAATTTTAATATATTTTAATACTATTTTTAAATAAAAACCATCACAATCATCTTGAAATGGATAGCAGCAAATATAAATAATTATGTGATCCAGTGAATGGAGTGAGAAGACATAGCATTCAGAATGATTCAGCAAGAATCACTCGTACATTCTTTGTTTATTCCTACATTTCACGCCATATTTTGAATGCAGAATGTTGAGGAAGCACATGATGGATTTGATACAAAAACTGAGACATTATATTAAAGAATTAAGAACCTGTCTACAGATTTGATGTTGAGACCTCATCTATACACCATTTACTAAAAATGTGTCAGAGGATTTAACAATTTATAACACATACATAGAGTCTAGAAACACACGCTGGTGAAAAATCATCCACTCTGTCAGAGACTTCCCAGCCAGTAGCCAGTCACTAAACCTCACATAACTCTACAAACTGACTGCATTAAGAGTGAGTAATGCTGCAGACTGTATTTATTCGTTTCATATGACTCTAACTGTAAACAGCAATTATTTCCATGAACTGTATTAAAAAACTAATCTTTGTAATGGGAACATGAGCTTTCTTTGAGTTACAGACGGAAAGTTTAATTATCAATATGGGTTTCAGTTCAGAGGCTCAAATAAAACATATCTCCTTCAGTTTAAAATTAATGGAAAGCAGGGATTACCCAGATTTTAAGAGATAAAATGTCCAGCTTTGATGAAAAGTTCAAGCGGTAATATTTTCTGTGATGGACCACTTTCATAAATAGCTGTGTGTGAAATAATGAATGGCTACAAAATTTTTGAAGAAAAAATGTATGATGAATTATGACAATATGCTGGGTATACATACATCTTTATTACATTCCATGGATCCAAAAGTTAGTCAGATGACAATAGGATGTAGAATAAGTCATAATAATACAATACATGTCACAAAAATACAAACAAAGGGTTCACATGAAGTAGAGATAAGTTACAAATAAATCCACCCATTATATTATATTATTAAGAACAGATAAAGCTGCATTTAGTACATACATACATCTTTATTACATTCCATGGATCCATAAGTTAGTCAGATGACAATAGGATGTAGAATAGGTCATAATAATACAATACATGTTATACAAATACAAGTCATACTATTATATAAATGTCACAAAATACAGACAAAGGGTTCACATAAAGTAGAGATAAGTTACAAATAAATCCACCCATTATTTACAATAGATAAATCATGACTTACTTGTAAACATTATAAATTCATCAACAGAGTAAAAGGAGTGTGTAATTAAGTATCTTTTTAATGCTGGTTTAAATTGTGCCTTTTTATTTACAAGAATTGTGAGATTTGATGGTAGATTGTTGAAAATTTTGATCCCTGTATAATATGCACTCTTCTGAAAACATGAGAGGTTGGCGATTGGTCTATGAAGCTGATTTTTATTCCTTATTATATGCACTACTGATGTCCACCTGTAATAAATACGTAAACATTGAGTAAGACTCAGCAGACTGCAGTGTTTCTCCCCACTAAAATTAAAGTCAACAAACATAAATGAATGCATACTTACAACACGCGCATCTGAGGCATTATTTGGAGGTGAACGAACACAAAGGTGGACAAGATCGGAATACGTGACTTGTGATCCAGTGATGTCCAGTGTCTGGAGCTGGTGGCAATTCTGTCCAATAGCAGCCATCGTGAGAAAACCTTGCACTGTATTCTTCAGAACGAGTTTAGTTAGTAATGGACAGTTGGAACTGAGTGTACTAAGACATGGTTGGAATTTCAATACTCCTCCTACTTCAAATTTTTCGGATAGCAAGACAAATCTGAAATTTTATATAATTCAAATTAGGTTACTTACAGATGATCTATTAACTGATTAGGTTTTTTAGCACTGGATGAGAACCACATGTGGTGAAATGAGGAATGGGCAGCAAGTTTTTTTTAAGGCTTTAACCTACATATATGTTGCACTGGCTTAGAGCTGTAAGAACTGTGGAAAAACATACAGATATTGAATTAGACAGCTAAAATTCTTGCAGGAAGATCTGTCTCTGTGGGAAACACAGACTTATAAATTTTTTTTGAAAATTTGAAGGGATAAATTTGGAAACTGTGTTTGTCTAGGCTTAAATAACATGAAATTAGTCTTAACATTTCTGGAATAAATTACACTGTAAGCCAATGATATATATATATAAAGACATACAGAACTGCCATTTATAACACTCGACAATCCTTGGATACATTCAACCTCATTTCATTTCATTTCATTTCAATAAGACCATTTTCTAAGCTGTATTTAAATAATATGTTATTCATTGTTTTCTCTTTTGTGTGTGTGTTTATAAATGAAATACAGTTCTCTAACATGCAATAAATCACCTTTCAAGACCAGTGCATTTCTTGAGCAACAGAGGCCAGAACTCAGGATCAATTTGAAGTTCAAATTCCCCAAATTCCAGCGTCTTCACTACTTGGTTCAGTAAAATATCAAGCATTCCCACCAAGATCCCTGGCTTGTTGGCAATGGATCTTGAATTCTTCAGCAACCTGAAAATGGAACACAATGCAAATTCTATAAACATTCACATAATCAATACTCCGGCATAATTTCAACATTTATGAAATTTGGTGAATATCAAACAATGTGAACCCACTTGTATCTATCAATAGACTTTTTCATGTTTCATTAAAATGTTGTTCAGCCTTTAACAGACAGTATTATGGTCATCTAGGAAACGGAAGTGGAACAGAAACAAGGACTGTCTAATCCATTCTTCAGGTGGCATTAAAAGGGTGCATTTTATTCATGTAAGACAGCCTGCTGTCTACGTACATGCAACATCCTTTAAATGAGGCAAACAGCAGCCAGAAGGGAGGGCAATATCAGGTCAGAACATGCTTTTGCAACTCACTTACAACAGGCATCATTACACTGCTCATTTTAATTAGATAAGTGAGCAAGTGAAATGTATGAAACTTATGCATGTTAAGATTAATAACAATTCCAGGTGGAGTTAGCCCCTTCTATCAAACACAATGAACAAGTATTGTCACCTGAAAGTGGGAGCAGAAACGTAGTGATTTCGTTTCAGAATGCTGAACAATGCATCAAATGCAGAAAACAGCAATATTTAAAGCAAAATAATATCTTACACACAAAGTGGGACCAGTCTGCATGCACCAAAACATCTTCAATAGTATTATGGGATCAGAAAATTATCTGCCTGTTCATATTAATTAAGGGCCTCCATGGCAGGACATTTTGTCTTAATTAAATGCTTAAAATTATGCATAAAAACCTAAATTCCTGTACATCAAAGGTTTAAGATTAGAATCTTTAACCTGTATTCATATACTCCTTTAGGATCTCATCTCATGGTAAGCATGAAGTCCATCAAGAAGTGTTTACTGCTTACAACATCATGACACTGAGGCCCTAATCATAGAGGCACTAAGAACCTCTAAAATGTCAGTCAACTTCTATAAGAGTGCACAGCACAATATCCCAGAAGGCTGTCATCTTCAAGGTGATTCTGGCTACACATACTAAATTCTCACCTTTCCCATTATCTCTGTTGGTCCTGCATGAACCTACACACAACTAATTATATTAAATTAATCAAACCTATTTACATAAGTCATCTAGAATAGAACAGAACAGAATTTATTTACATTTACAGATCCTTCATAGGAGGAAGCAAAGGATACAGAACATGTAATGGCACAAATACTTTTTCCTAATACAAACAAAATTTACGTAGTTATGACAGTGATTTACAGTCAGCAACAGGAATACTGAAAAAATGATTACAGAAGAAATCATAATCACTATTTTTTGCATGTATTTATAATAGCTGAGAATTTCTGGTTGAGGTAGATTCTTCTAAGTTGGAGTAGAAGGAGTGAGACAAGACATACTCTTAGTGAATGCTTAAACTTCTTTATATAGTGATTCAGACTCTTTACAGTGACTGAGAAGATTATTGAACTGCTTAGTTCCAGTATGGTAAACTCCTTTTAATTCATACTCAATGGCACTGGCAGTAACAAACTCTGCAGTCTGACCCCAAGTGCTATTTCAATTGCTGCAAAAAACAAATATAAACACATACTTGTTTATCAATCCTTGTCGAACAATCTCATTAAGTAACGGAGGAAGAACATCCAGATAACCTCGAAGTTCTGCAATAAGGCTGTCAGCATTAATACCTCTTCGGCGTAACAAAAGAGAATTATGTTCATAACGTCGCACCTGGCTACAGAATAATATCTCCCTCTCAAGGTAATTCATCACCTCCATTAAACATAGCTCCTGCAATAGTGGTGGAGTTATTGTTCTGCGAGGAGGCATTTTTATTCTTATCTTCAAATGTGGCAAGATGTACTGAAAAAGTGGTGCAAAAGAATAAATATGAATAAGAAGCAACTTGTAACAGAATACTGAATACATCAATAAATACAGTTTAGAAAATTGCACGATAAACGAATTAAGATTCCGTTAACTTCAGATATATTCCAAGGTGATTTTCCTTGCATATTTAACAAGACACAAACAAACCTGGAGCATCTGCTAACGCATATTAATAATTAGAAACAGTGTTCTAATACCCAAAACAAAATATGCTTCACTTCAGTCTATAAGTACGATACACGAAAAACTGTAAATTCTTTACTTACTTATCCAACAATACTTCGCTAATACACCAAGCAGATGACAAAATCATGCTACTTGGAAAGGATTTTTAAAACCGTCAAACACATTCCACCACGAATAAACTATCCAGAATAGAACAGAGAACACATTACCAGCAAAATGTACGCTAAAGCAGACAGAAACGAAACTACCTCGTTGTTCATGGCTGACACCAATTCTACCAACATTAGTTGGGTAATCGGGATCACAAAATTCTTGGACTATGTCCATCGTCCTGGTTTTAAAAAGAACTACGTTTCGGAAGCTGGATCTGCTTCCATCCTCGGGTTACAGAATGGGTAAAGGAGCATCTACTCAGTTGGGTTCGATAGGTCAAACTAACATCAATCACAGTAACTGGTGTTAGCTCTCCCTCATTTAACCTGTGGACAGATGCGACCCAGCTTCTGAAACGTAATTATTTTTAAAACCATAGACGATGGACATAGTCCAAGAATTTAGTGATCCCGATTGTAACACATTATCGTCAGTACCCTATAATATTGATGATTGGTATTTACATTCTAGTTGCCAACGTAGGCAACTGCGTCTACTGCATTCTACCCATAACATATCATTCGGTAAAAATGGCAAATACTATCCAACCCACCAATAAATTTTACAACCCTGCTCCTTCGTTCGGGCTGTTGCGCCATAGTAGAAGGAGAGATAATTTTCCTACCTTAGCTTCAAAATACATGAGAAAGTTTGTGTCAGCTGCAGTATGCCATGCTTTGTGACAGCAGGTCCGTGTTAAGTCATGTATTTACTGATTTCAATAATGGTATTGGAGTGGCACTCATGTTAATATCAGAGTCGGTCAATTACTATAAGAATGATGAGAGACTCTCAGGCAACAAGCCCCATCAGGTGGCTGAATGGTGAATAAACCGTTTCTTCTGCAAACGTTTCTAAAGCTTGTTGCCAAGACTTTAATCAACTTCGGTCCCAGCGAAAGCTTCTCTTTATATACTAGAAGAATGCTGGAAAGAACACTTCACTTCCTTCAGATCCTCCAAGGAAGAAATTAGTAGTAGTTCTTTTCTTTTCATTTTGTGCATGAAGATGTTCATGTTTAGTAGTTTGGGTTGTTTTTTGACTGTATATTACATTGGCTCCTTTTTACTTCATAAAGGACATGATGTGCAAGCAAACACACACAAAATTTTAGGTATATGATGTACCAGGTTAAATGAGTGTTCAAAACAAGAGAAAGGAGACAACAAACTTGGAAAATGTGTTGTTATGGATGACACTTTCTATTCAGACAGCTTTTCTAATTAATGGGTTTGCATAAATTCTTCTTTCTGTGGCTCTACAACCCAGTGTGGGTCTTGGCCGCCTCCTGTCGGAGATTTCTTAGTCTTCCAAGTGTGCACCTGAGAACAGTGAGTGACCAGCCCACTGCCTATACACAATTTCAATCCTGATTTTGTCTGCTAGAGCCATCTAGTAGAGAATCAGAAGAGACATGGTTGAGAAATGGCCGTTGAATTTTGCTTATGAAACATTTCGTTCATGCTCATAAGGTTCTTTTAATAATAATGATAATCCATTGCATAAGAGCCTTCTGAGAGCCAAAGCCGACTAGCCGACTGCTGGCCTCACGTTTACATGCCTAAGCAGAGGTGAACGATCATCCAACCAGATATAAGGTGATATGTGGTCAGCACGATGAATCCCCCAGCCATTGCTAATTTTCGTGACCAGATTATGCAACCCATTGTAGCTCCCCAATTTCCTCAGGATGCTGGGTTGGCACCAGTCCCATATACCTGTCGAAAATCTCTTTACGTGCTGTAAATCTGCGACATGGGCCTGCTGACTTTACTTCCCCTCCAAAGTAACTTGTGCTATGGACTGTTATCACCCTTAAAAATCCATTGACCTCAGCAGGATTTGAACCTGTGACCCTTGGGTCCAGTGGCGAGCCGGCTAACCACTAATCCACCGAGAGTGACAGGTTTCCAGAACTAATGAATTAAAATAATTACAAATATTGATAAACAGCTGTTAACACCAAATATGCTTCATTCACTCTTAATTATCTGGAATTTCCAATAGTGACAGTAGCTGAAAAATGTAACATTTCCAGAACATGCACAGGTGAATGCCTGGTCAGCCTACTGAAAAGGAATTGATTAAAGACAGGAACAAACCTACCTGCTTAAAACAGCAAAGAATTCAGCATTTAAAAACAGTATATAACTTGTAATTTAACATAAATGTCTAGTCAATTTCCACCCCTTCCTTTATTTTTATTGATATTACTTTCAATATTTCATACCAAGTTTTACAATTGTGTACACACTGACTCATAATGAACACAATACCACTTGAAGCTTACAAATATTATCTGGTTTGTTGGGTTTTCGTACCTTGCCCAATGCCTGATGTTACGTTCATTATACCTGAAGACGACACATCCAGTCCTCAAAATGTTGCATATTATATAACATCAAACAATGGATAATGTACAATCAATCCAGACTGTATTACACCATCATCAGGCAAACCCTTCAGAATTTATTACAAATATTAATTGCAAAGTTTTTCCTTTTGTTAAGCTTATAGAATGGGTTAATTCGACTGCCAACAGGACAGGGTTTCAATACACCTTGACTAGGCTTCTTGCTTGCATCAAATGGAATGGCTGGACTTCGTATGACAGACATGTGGTATTCACGGACACCTGGCAATCAAAAGAAAAATCCACAAACACAAAATAAATTCGGTTAGTCACCAGTTTTAAACAACACTGTTCAGTCTCCATGAATTCATTTTCATACGCTTAAAATCCCATTTTCTTTAATTTTTTATATGCTCAGTACTTTGCAGCTGAGCTACTTACCACTTATTCCTTATCAGTTTACAATTCATTCAATACACTTAGTTTTCAAACAAGGGCATAAGGTCAGCCACATACTTACTTAGTCACTCCATGGAGCTGAACCCTTCCTGAGAAGCCAACAGTTGCTCAGCCACTCAAGAATTTCCCAACATTTTATGGAACCCAAATGCTCATTACCATACCCACTTTAATATTATCCTCCCACCTACATCTAGGTCTCCCCAATTGTCTCTTTCCTTGTGGTTTGTCCACCAAAACCCTGTGTGTATTCCTCCTCTCTCCCATGCCCATCTCATCCTCGTTGACTTCATCACTATAATTATTATTCATCATTAATCATTATTCAACTTTCTCCAGCCTCCTACTAATTCATCCCTCTTAGATCCAAATATTCTCCTCGGCACCATTCTCAAACACCCTCTATCCATGTACCCCCCTTAGTGTCACAGACCGAGTTTCACACCCATACAAAACTACAGGTAAAATTAAAGTTCTCTGTATTTTAATCTTTACAATTTCAGAAAAAAGGTTCTGAACAGAATGGTATCAAGCATTACCCAAATTTAATTTCCTCATGAATCAAGAACAAGAATCATGCACTTCTATTTTGTTACTACCTTGTTCACTGTTCCTGTTGAGGGCTATGTTTACTTTCTTGCCACTAGATGGTGTTACTGCCTTCACTTCACTGCCAGACTGCAACAAGGAGAAGCTATGCGTTACCGGACACTTACAGATTTTATACTTTGCTCACAATCATTACTGTGTCAACATAAACCCTCCACAGAATACTGCAGTGTACTGTAAAGTAATATAAATGCTAAATGTTCATTCACGTTGCGGGTCGAATCATCCTTAATGAGCCTATATATAGTGTACTGGTGTATTTTCTGTAGAAACTGAATAATGAGATGGCACATGTTGGCTCAAGTGACTACATTATTCAGTAGTTTGCTTTTGTATTTGCAATGTATGTTTTGTGATCATGATAATGAACTGTTTAAAAGCACAGAGCCAGGTACTGACATCACAGCAAGCGCGTGCTTACCTTTAGACTAGTCTCTGCGACATCACTCACTTTCCAGTCGCCCCCTACACTCATTCTGCTCGCTGGGGTGAACGACTTAGAAGTGAGATTACTTAAGCTGTACCTCCGCATTCCTTCAGCAGATTTCTTTTTAGACATTTCACTTTTCACATCCTCCTCCATATTCAGGGCCTTGTGTGATTCTTTTCTTTGCACCTTGAACTGCTGTACCCCCACATCCACATTTTCAAATTCTGTCAGCAATAAATCAGATTTCCTCTTCAAACCTTGAATTACTATCGAGTCATCAGAATTGTTTTCTCCTATTTCTTTCCTGTTCTTTTGGCCATCTTCACTGTCATTTTCTATTACTCTGATATTTGCTGTCTTTTGTAAGAGACATTCATTTGTCACAACAGGAACACTGCTTCCTTCAGTTGGTTCAATGACACATGTATTTGTTTTTTTACTTTTCTCAGATGTTTGTAGCACCAGTCTGTTTAAATTGTTAGTTGCCACTGAATCATCTTCTTTTGTTGAAGATTCTTGAACAAATTTCTTCTGCCCACGCCTCTTTTTCTTTTGTCTTCTCCTTCCTCCATTTTTTTCAAAATTTGTCAACTGGAGAGCTGCTTTGTTAATGTGTTTGTTTTTTAATCGGAATCTCTCAATCTTGGGTTTCGATTTCATCAGACGTTCCACTACTGCCCGTGAAAAGGTTCCTGCAGCCATCCTCTTGAACCTGAAAATGATAAATATGAAATATGTAATCTACCACACTACCAATCAGGCATAATGTAACTCTCTCCATCACGTTCTGTTCGCATGTCAAGGCACTATGCCCCGCAGAATGAGTTCTGCAGAAAAAACTGCATAATCTCAGAAATGCAATCTATATTACAACACAATCCAGTATCCATAATACACTTTAAACAACATTTTGCCCCAATTGCTTTGTTGCTCAGCACACAAGGACATGCCCTTCTCACTGTCCTTGTGTGAGCCAATGCTTACCATACTGTATTTCCTAAAAAAAACAATGGGGTCATAGTTCACAAAGTTGCGCATCAATTTCACTGGTTGCATGAGTTGCCTACATCCTCAGAGAACTGGAAGGGCCCTTAACCCTCAGACGTGGTTTTACGTGTACACACGCGGGCATTTAAATTAAAGTTCTTGTGGTTTTACGTATACACACGCGAGCCTCAAAGCCTAATTTAAAACGCCCATAAGTATGGAATAAATAACGCCAGCGTGATGAGGTTTGTTCTCGCCTGTTGTGGAAATAAAGCTCTATGTGTATACATGTGGCAACAGGGTTACATTCCAATGACCTGCAAGGGACAGTCTAAAAATAAACGCCTGACCTGGTAGTTTACAATGGCTTTCTCTTCGACAAGTCATCCCTTGACGGAGCTTGAAGAAATACAAGTTTTAAATGAAGTTTTAGAAGATGATAGTATAAGTGAATATAGTTCGGAAAAAAAGAGTATTTCACAGCAAAATTTAAACGGGCATTTAAAAAATACTACCGCAGGAACAGCACGACAGCGGTATATGCGGGGTATTTAAACCACCACGTCGACGGGTTAAGGTGTTCTTTGCTCACCCTATACTGAGAAGAATGCTTAACAAATAAACAGACACGAGCATCACACCTCATACTTGTAATGTTAAGGGACGTACTGCCTTCATACTCACTTCTCTGCAAGTGACTGTAAAGAGCGCCTATTCTTATTTTTGACGCATTTCTGACTTTGCTCCCACAGCGTATCTGCAATTCCTTGTGCATCAAACGGAAGTTGGGGCAGCTCCACATCCACTCGACCAGCTCTTGGATCTAAGGGACCATCCTCAACACTTTCACTGTCTGACATTTCTTTGCCCGCATCACTATCTAAATCTTCTGAAGCCACATCACTGTCAGCCTCATCAACTTTCTCTATGTTTTTCCAACTACCACTTGAACATCCAGCCTAACAAAACACAAATACAATGCAGAATTAATAATTTGTGTAAGGTTCACTAAATTCTTTAGCTGCATCATATCACAATATTATAACAGAAATTGAACAAAAAAATGGACAAGTTTAATTATATGGCACTGTGAAAAGAACATTTAGTAAACATCTAAATGAAATCAACTTGATAAAATTTGATAAATCCATAACAATAACAAGGATTCTAAAATGAAAGCCAACAGAGCAGAATTACATATACTCCCACTAATACGAGAATGAAGATGATGATGGCCCACAGTAGGGCGCACAATTTAATTCGCACTCCAAAACCACTGCTGAAGTATGTTATTTGGAAACCGACAAGAAGTTATTTCAACATAAATGTATTTGCTTATAATATGTAATGAAACAATTAGAAATCTCATTAAAAATACATATCCCTCAAACGATCCAGCTAAAAATAGTTTAGTAAACTTCCAAGGGTATGTTACACTCATATTTACTTCTGTATACGTAACAAGAAGGACAAGGAATAACAAACAACTAATCCATTTCTCCACATAATTTACAGAGCTACTGAGACATGTTTCTGTGATACACCACCTGTTAATTTACTGCACAGAAAAAAAATCAGGGCTCAGTGTGTTAACCCACCAGTGCACTCCAGATTTTACCTCATCATACCGGACGTGTTTTCCTTCAAAGTGCTTCTTCAGTCGTCCACTGAGAGAAGGAAGTCAATTTGTGTTAGATCTAGTATTTTGTGGTGGATAGGCATGACATTCCCCGTAAAAATTCCAGGAGTTGCATTGTCAATTTTATCCTAAATGTGTAGTCACTTTTGTCACGAACAAGGGCCATTTTCTGTGAGAAAGCCAAGGTATTTCCTTTGAATTTCTTCCTTCTGGTGCTCCAGTGTCATGCTGTACCAGCTTGCACTCAATGTTGCCCTGTGTGTCCAAAAATGGCATCAACACATTCCCCACAGACTGTAGGGTCCGAAGTAGTTCTGCTCAAAACATTTTGCCCATCCACAATATAATGCTGCGTCCTTGTGCCCAATGACTTTTATTTCAATGCACTACTGCATAAGTACGCTGAAGAAAAATACTTCTTCTGATGTGATGAAGAGGAAACAGTTGAAGTATACCAATGGGTGAAGACATTGAAAACTGATGTCTTCTCCATGAATGTGGTGGACCACAGACAACATTTAGGCAAGGGGACATGTTTTCTTTAACAGTTAAATTAGCATATCAAAATAATAATTAAACTAAAACAAAAAAGTTCTACATAGACAATGCTCCAGAATACTAATGACTTATTCCATCAGGAAAAAACAATGGTTTGCAGTTATTTTAACACAGTCACCATTAGACTTTCATAAACACATTTAAAATGGTGAGATTTCAGGTTCTCAAGGCAGCAAGCATGAAGATGACAGTCTTCTTGGGATGTTGCACTATGTAGTCTGATAGAAGTTTCAAAGCCCTGATGATGGAGTCAGCAAGCACCTTTGGAACACCCGTGAACTTCTAACATGTAGCATTTGAGGTTTTCACAGTGGTGAGTCTGAAGATGGATGCCTTCTGGGTTGATGCACCATGTAGTCTGGTAGAAGTCACCTCCATCATCACCCTGATGATGGAGGCAACGACGATCTCTGAAACGTCTACCAGACTGCACAGTTCAACAACCCAGAAGACAGACATCTTAAAACTGCAAACAGACTACATGACACAACATCCCAAAAGACAGTCACCTTCAGGTTTAAAGATATTTGCCTAGAATGAGAAAATAAAACAAAAACATCAAATCAACCTACATAGAAAACTAAAATCTATCCATTCATCTCTTATCCACCCAAATTATAAAGTAGCTTTTAACATGCTGTATTGTGAATTAAAACTGTAGGGCAAGTTTATGTTATAACAAACTAATTTTACTACACATAATAAACAATTACAAGTATATTACATCATTCAAAGCTCTTCGTAACTCTTCGAGCTCTATTCCAGCATCAGACTGCTTAATCAGGTAATGGAACACATCATTTTCAACCATATTTCTCAATCTTCCATTATTTTCTTCTGCAAGATAACTCATAAATGGCTGCAGGAAGGCAGTCAGCATATCAACAGGCAGTTTCCCTCGGCTAACCTTGGAGAGCTCTTGGAGATAAATATCACAAAAATGCATAATCAAACTGGCAGGATGGCTAATAATCACACTGACTGATGTAGATAAAATGGTTGCAGTGAAACTACTGCACACTCTTTGAACCACATCTGCATTCCAACTGCATTTCTGGCAAAATTCAAATGTCTGACGCAGGAAGCGACGCACAAGCTACAAGAAAAAACAAACAAATGTAAATTGTCAACAGTTTTAAATTCAAGCATTTAAATCTATTTCAGACAATAACAACTTACATCACACAAAATGTGTTTATTCATAAATGTTACACAGAGATGTGTAAATATCCACTGTTTTAAAACTCAAAACTTCAAGTCTTTCTTACTATTATCCATCATGCTTTATGACATTGCTGCACAGCTCATAGGCACTAGAATAATTCAGAATGTTTTGCCAGATAAAGTCTATTTCAGTTAAAGCCAAGTATTTAAAATTAACTCAGTATATCAAAAGCATACAAAATCAAATGCTTACCATCAGAAACTTATTGTAACGAAACTGATCAATGCTATACCAATCTGTCACCATAGTATGGTAAAAGCACTTGATAAACATAATTGCTAGATCAGTCTTTTTAAAACAATGTATAAGGTGGCTAATTTTCTCTGCCAGTTCTTCCTAAAAAAATAAAAGTTTTTCATTATGAAGCAAAAAAGATGTTACAATGAAGTGCTACTATGTATAAATACAAATTAAATAGATGAGAAATAAAAATGCAATGGAAGACAACCTATTAAGCTGTGGGGACAAAAGTACAGATGCACATACTGTAAGTAATGAACAAGAACAGTCATTTAAACAGATGACTTTAAGAACTACAATGAGGTTATGGATGTAGTCACCTTCGTAACAAACAAATGCGCCATCAGAGTGTGAGCACACCTGCACAAATCTGAGGCAATGACGTGTCATAAATATCTGGGCATAACCTTACAGACTACTAGGGCAGCCTTCACTATGGCTACTAATACTAACATGAAACAGAGTTACAATAAAGCATGTATTTGAACCACCTTCTCATGACATATTTCCAAACTTACAATATAATTTGTTTTATTTATGCTTACTATACCCAATATGGGGCCCACCCAGCCTCCTCTACAATGGGTACCGGGGTCCTTTCCCGGGGGTAAAGCCGGCCGGGACGTGATGCTGACCACTCACCCCCATCTAGTGCCGAGGTCAAGGAAGAGAGGAGCTATACCTCCACTCACCCCAAACGCCTACATGGCGTATAGTGGGACAAACTTTACTTTACTTTACCCAATATACACATATCATAATGTAATATTCACTTAAGTATCTTAATTTGCCGTCAATTCGGATTTGACGTGAGATATATAAGTACACATCAAAATAATGAAAAGATTCTGTTCATCGATCAACTACAGAGAACAGTGTGACATCACCAAAATATTACACAAGCTAAAGACACAGCATCTGATCAGTTTTTTTTAACATTTTCAGCATTTTACTTTGTTGGACAGACATACCATATTTCTTGTATTTTACTTTCATCATCAATCTGTAATATATCATTGTTCCACATATTGCAACTTCACAAAAAAGTTATCTCCTTATTAAGTGCTATCATGACACATTTTATATACAAACTGAATTACTCAGCAGTGGTGTAAAATAAACATAGAAAAATACAAGTGCCAAAACACATTTAAGGTACATGTTTGACTGCAGAAAAGATTCTTAAAGGAACGATACTATAACTATAAAACAGATAGGATTTGCCTAGGAAACAAGTTTGTTTATTCTCATTTAAGGTCTGCAGAGAGAAAAATATACCACAAAAAATAATATGGTGAAAATCTACCTAATGGGGGCATTTCTGGTACAACATCAAATGGTTATATTACACAGGAAGTGTTTGGTAGATTCGTAAACCATCTCAGTAATAACTGGTTGCCTGGAAGGCCCCTGGTTATTCTGAATGGACATCACAACCAATGGGACAGTTCCATACTAGATGTTTCTGAAAACTTAAAAGATCCAGTTGTTGTGCATTCCTGTATCATGAACTATAGCCTTGGATAAAAGCTTCTTCAAACCCCTGAAATCATACTGGAATGAGGCAACCGACAACTGTCAAAGACAACATCCTGGTAGGCCATTAGAGAAGCTCAAATTCCCAAAATTATTCACATAAGCATGGATTCATGCCGCCACTCCTAGGAAACGCTGTGTCTGATTTCATAACTACAGGAATCTATCAACACAATCCAAATGTCATCCCAAAGACTTCTTGCTTGAACTAATGTCTCAGATCGGCCAGTAGAACAGGCACCACCCACTCCAATCCACAATCAACCACAAAGAGATAAGGATGCTACTCCAGTAGGGAACATGCCCATGGAAAAACTGTTTCATAAGTTTTAAACAAAGAGAATTTAACAATACAAGGCAATAGAACAAGGCCAATATTATAAAAAGTGACGCACATTGCGGTGACTGTGGAGAAGTAGGTCTATGACAGAAATAACACAAATTCAGTGTAAAGTCTGGTACCAACAGATGTGTGATTAAGGAAATACCCTATTGTCTGGGCACTTTGTGCGATAAGGGCTGTGCTTCACTGAGTGACAGAAGATACCTGATATTTGCTTTTATAAATTTTGCATTATTTTACAAAACTGAACGTTTGCTATTTCAACATTCATTCAAAGTATTGTTCCCAAGTTCTTATTTTAGGTTATGGTGCAGTATTTATATTTTCTGCTGATAGCTGAAGAACCAAGCTTTTCAAATCCCTTTGATTTAAAAATTCTGATTTTAGTTCTTTAAAAGAGTTTCAGTAAATGTTAAGCATCCAACCAGAGTATCAAAATACATACTTGGGATTATTTGCCTCACTGTTAGGTAATAATGACAAGTACACATTTCCAGGAAACTTTCTTACATAACATACAAAATGTGGCATGAATATACCACATCCGAAAGTGGTGCCTGCCAGAAATGCATATATAAAAATCGTAATTCCAAAAATGTAGAAGATAAACTGGTGATGATACTATCTGACTTTACTGTGTAACCTGGCTGGTAATTCAAAGTACTGGCTGCTGAGTTTTAAATTGGGTGTGTTACAATAACATGAGAGTCGATGTTTCTTAACTCGTAACCGAGACTGTAATGCGCCTTCCTGACTTGCTATGGTCAACTGGCCGAAAACCACTTCTGGCTTGCATCTATTCTATAAAAATAACTGCATGTATGGATGCAATTTTACATTGTGTAAATAAAAAAATAAAGTGCAACTGGTTTTGAAGTTATAAAGTTTCGTATAAAACGTATCTGGCTTAAAGAAAATTCAAGTGTTCACGAAACTGCCGCCATCTTCACCAGTTTCCAGTACCTGTACAAGGGGTTTGTCTGCCATCCACATACAATAAAACAGACCCTTCCAAATCCTCATGAAGTCATCATCAGTAAAATCTGTAACAGTCGTTAAATGTAAATCAGTCTTAGTGAAATAAATCACTTGCCACTCCACTTTCATTGCTTACACACAACCTAGTACCACTTACCGCATGTTCCACTAGATCGGGCCTTTAGCCAACTACTAAGTCTTTTAACGCCTCTATCACGGAGTGTTTTATTATTTCCTGCTAGTATTTTTGCAAATGCTATTTCCTGTGCTACAAGAACAACTTTTCCACGTGCACCTTTAGACGTATCTTCGTTTTCCACAGCCATGTTTGTAACGCATTCGGTAAAAGTAATACCAACATACAGATCAGTAACTCATGTTGGCAACTGCCCTCAGAAGCTCACATTAGTGGGTACGGGTATTGGCGTTTACGAGCTACCCAGTGCATGGGTATTATAAGTGGGCCATCCTGTAACCTGTGGATAGAAATTCGGAGGCCTGGTCCTCCAGGTTGGGGGGTTGTGCTTGGGGTTTACAGCTCCATTACGGGGGAAAAAAAACTAATCGTACAGAAACCTAATACGAGAAGCCGAACGGCTAAGGCATGTCAAAAGTAAAAATGATGCAAGGTTTGCGGCATGGAATGTGCTCAGCTTAAGAGAGCAGACTCTGATAGTTGGGTCATGTTGAGAGAATAAACTGACTACATTGCACTACAACCCAGAAGACAGCTGTCTTCGGACTCACTGCTGTAAAAACCTCAAATCCTATGATCATACATATATATTTGGCTGCTTTAAACAAAGGACTAATGGAGAAAGAATGTGAATCAGATCCATGTAGCAAAAATGCCCAAGAATTAGTTTATTATACACACTCAGTGTTCGTGCTATTTAAAATTATCACTGTTTTGTCTATATGCAAGTTAAACACAATACCAAATAAAATACATCTACATAAACTGTTTGACTTTACAAGCTCTACTTCACTAAGTACTAGAAATGTAATGTAAAATAATATGAGAAATACATATTTAAAAATATCACAGGGTAAAACTATCTTCAAAATAAATTCTGAATAAACTGTTCTCAAACTGTCACAAAGCAATGCTAGTCAAGATGTATACAAGCATGTGAGATGAGAGGTCCTCTAGGTGGTGAGCATGTCAGTTGTGGTCTTCTGTATTGTGATGATTATTAATGTTGAAGTTACTTCCACCATGAAGTTTGAGACAACATGTGTTCCTCCAGAATGTTTGTAATTACTTTCAAGACCACATGGCATCACAGCTCACAAGACACATACACAAGCTGCATAAAAACTACTGTTTTTCCTCAATTTTTAGAAGCATTTTTGTTTCTGATTTTAAACTTTCTGAAATCAGGGTACATCTTAAATTAGACAGTGTCTCTCTTCCTGAAAACACATTACTAAACCATGGGTGCATCTTACAATCAGTGGAGTCTTAAAATTGAAGTAATACACTATATCCCAAAACAGAACAAAGAAGTAGCACATTTTCTTTGCAGAAGGAACAGCATTTTAGAACAACACTTTCACAGGTTATACACATCCTAAAACAGGTTAAGTACTATGTATCACCAGCCTTAATTTTACAGTAGTCATTGGGCAGAATTAAGTAAAACGATCAATAATGACATTACATGGCAAAATATTTTACTTTAGCAGAGGTTCTATTATTATGCAGGTTTTAGAAGTACTATTAATATGGGTAACGAACATTAAATGACGAATATGGCATAGCTGATGTTTCTCATTGTTCTAAATTGAAAGTCGATAGGTATGGAAAATGGAAAAGAGGAAAAAATTAAACAAGAGAGTGTGGGATAAAGATATAAGGGATATTCTTCTCCACTTTAAGTATAATATTATTAAAAACAACAGCTAACATCTGTCAATTTCTAGTTTGACAGAATATTATTTTCAGACTTCTCTCAATCTCCTTACCTTATTTACATTCAAAAAGCCCACAATAAATGCCTGATGTCTTACTTTCAACAGGATTTCTGTATTAGCCCTTGGTCTAAAAAAGGATCTATTCATCACACTATCTAATAAATATCTTGCTTTACAAACAACAAATACAGATATTATAACATTGCAATCAGAAACATGTTTTCCAATCATGAATGATCAATCAGGTACAACAATATCTTCCGTATGCTTACATTTACATACAGTAAAGTTACAAACGTGATCACAGTACTCTACCAACATGACTAAAATAGACCTTATATGTCAGACAGATATTCTTCCCAGTTGCAAATATTAAATAAAGGAAAAATAATATTATGACTTATCATCATAAAATTTAGATATTGACTTAAGGGTTTAAAAAATAGAAGAAGCTCATACTCAGTTAATAAAATAATTATTATTTAATATTTAACTATAAATAATTAATAAATTTATTTACTCAGATGATGATGATGATCTTCTGGGTTTTGACACCATGTAGACATTACATGCCAAGATTTTGGTAAAGTATAGTGTTTCATTCTTCAGTCCTAAAGATAGAGACAGTATGTTCTCTGAAAAGGTGGCATCTATCAATGAGTCTACATGATGACAAAACCCAGAACATAACCATCATCCTCACCACTGTCAAAACCTCAAAACTCTTATACACACAGTTTCAACAATTTATCTAAATTACTGTTACTGACATACTGTATACTTTTCCATATTGTTTAAAACTTTAAATATCACTTCAGAAATCACCAGTAGTACATCCACAACTGGGAAACATCTGGCATACCTCATAACTTACACAGCCACAGATTTATTTAAAAATACTAATAAATACTATCTCTAAAGCCACCATCCTTTTCTTTAGTTACGAGAAAGTAAAGATGTTGGACATATGAAATAACGTTGAATACTACATAATCATTTATGTACTTTAAAAGCAGAGCTGTAATCCTACAGCTCCAAAAATATACAAGTGGAAAAAACTGTGTATGATTTTAACAGTAATGAAAATCTAATGATTCTAACAGTTGATTTTTCCAGAAGTTTTAAACCAGGTTTAATTTTTTCCACCATTTTCTTCATTTACAAACATATTTTAATAAAAATAAATTTAAGTAGAAACCCATATGAGATCTCAAGTTGTCAAAGTCGTGAAAACAAATGTTATATACCACATCTGCACAGTAAGTAGATTAAGTAATTTCTGCAAATAAACCTTACAGATTACATTTTGGAATCTTATGATACCCTAAAAAATATTCACACAAATCTGTAGCACATACCAATGACTTATTTTTCTTATTTATGCAGCAAGAAATAGCTGATTCAACTTGGGATATATGGGTTTTTGTTTTTAATTTCTAAACCTAGTATAACTTACACTAATTTGCACAGCACCACCTAGCATGTCACATAAATCATGTTTCTTCACTGAGCAATGCTGAAAACAACTCACTCCATGCAGTCAATAAATTCAGCTTTGTTTCCCCACAAATATTTCTGTTTTTTATTAAACATGTTTTACAGATAGGATACAAGGAGAACTGAACTATGAAATTGTTAATTTTAGAGGGAGTTCACTGACTTTTCATGAAAGCAGGGTAAGGGGCAATGTGATCCACACACAAACCAAAATTCTAAGAAAATTTACTGACATCTTTACATCATGACTGAGTGCCAAAATGTTTTCAATAGATGAATATGGGATTATTTTAAGGAGCCCTTACAAGTTTATGTAGAATGTAATTTAAAATATGTAGTAGTGTGTAACATTAGAAAAATACCTATTTAGAGTAATATTCTATGAGTTTTTACACACAAATCAACCTAATAACAAAACCCTGACCAACAGAACATGTCATGGATGTAATTATTATCATCACAAAGAAAATAGTGACTGGTAATGATTATTTTCATTGTAATGAATTAAAATAGAGTAACCAGAGACAGAATAATGAAGAATAAAAATTAAACCCATTGCTGCCCTTACACAAATCATTGCAATGCAGTACAATTTTGTAAACTCTCCCAGGAACAACAATGTAATTACAGTTTTTAATTGAATTTCTTGCTTTGGCCAAAGTTCAAACAATGTTCTAAACTTATATGCTGAAAAAAAATTAAAATGAAGTATTTAAAGTTTACTTAATGACATGGAAATTATAAGAAAACTGAAGGAAATGTTTAACAGAAACCAGATTATTTTGAATGATCTTATGCCTCAGTACAGAACACTATTCTAAGTTTCAGAGTAACATACATCACTAGGTCAGGTTCAATTTTTACATGATATGATATTATGATTCCACATGGTCATGAAACCATGTTACAAAAATCTTGAACTACGAGGGTCGCTCATTAAGTAATGCCCCACATTTTTTTTCTCAGCCAATAATGAAGATAGAAAAGTGTACTTTTACATGCTTGAGATTTGATGTTTCCCGCGTTCGTGTACGGAGTTTCAAATGATTCCAACCGATAGCGGAGCTGTAGTGAACTGTTAAAATGGCGTCTGTGAACGACTCTCGTTACAAGCAACGAGCTGTAATTGAATTCCTTGTTGCTGAAAAAGAAACGGTGGTGAACATTCATAAACGTTTGTGTGCTGTGTATGGAAGCTGTGCAGTCGATAGGAGCACCGTTGGTCGCTGGGCTAAGAGAGTTAAAGCTTCAGGAAGTGAAGAAACCGAGCTCCGTGATCTGCCGCGCTCTGGGCGTCCTGCCACAGCCACCACTCCAGACATGTTGAACCGCGCGGATGCCATTATTCGTGAGGATCGGCGCATCACAACTCGACAATTGGCCCAACAGCTTTCAGTCAGCAATGGAAGTGTGATTGCAATTATCCGGGCTCTTGCATATTCGAAGGTGTGCGCAAGATGGGTTCCACGAAGTCTCACAGCAGACCACAGGATTCAAAGGAAAACGATTTCTTCTGAATTGTTGGAGCGTTTTGATGCTGAGGGAGAGGTCTTTCTGTCCCGGATCATTACAGGTGACGAAACCTGGATACACCACTTTGAGCCAGAGACAAAAAGGCAGTCAATGGAGTGGCATCATCCTCAATCACCGAGAAAGAAGAAATTCAAGACAACTCCCTCCGCCGGAAAAGTCATGATGACTGTCTTTTGGGACAGTGATGGGGTCATTCTTGTGGATGTGATGCCCAGAGGTGCGACCATCAATTCAGACGCGTACATCAGGACCCTGAAAACCCTCAAGAAGCGTTTTCGACGAGTTCGGCCTCACAAGCATCCAGCAGAAATTTTGCTCCTGCATGACAATGCACGCCCTTACACAAGTCCGAGAACCCGGGAAGAAATCACCAAATTGGGTTGGACGGTGCTGCCCCATCCACCCTCCGACTTTCATCTCTTTGGGCCACTTAAAGATGCTATCCGCGGAACAAGATTTGAAGATGACGAGAGCGTGATTCAAGCAGTGAGGACATGGCTACGTGCACAGGACAAGAGCTGGTACCGGCAAGGCATGCATGCCCTTGTTCCACGCTGGCGTAAAACCGTACAAGTTGATGGGGACTATGTGGAAAAATAGTATGTGTAAAGGAAACATTGATTTATATTGTCACTAAATTTGAGCCATCTTGAATAAATATGTTCTGAGGAAAAAAATGTGGGGCATTACTTAATGAGCGACCCTCGTACATATCAACTCTCATTACCATATAAGGTATGATTGTTTGTTTACAGAAATCAAGTTCAGAATCAGCTGAATAGAAGTGTAAGGTTACCTGCTGCTGCACTAATGGTAATTCATTCTGGCACTTGTATACGAGAGTACGGATGTACTGGAGAAGCACGCTGCAGCACTACCACACAGCTGAAACATTTTCACAAGCAACATCAGTAAGATATTTGGCTTGCAGTAATAAAAGTCTGCGCTGCTATACCTCTTTCATATTTCTTTGACTTGAGGTTCTCACAGCGGTGAGTATGAAGATTTCCGTCTTCTGGGTTGTTGCGCTGTGTAGTCTGGTCGATGTTAACCAACGTTTCAGAGGTCATACTGCCCTGATGACGGAGGCAGTATGACCTCTGAAACGTTGGTTAACATCGACCAGACTACACAGCGCAACAACCCAGAAGACAGAAATTTTCATACTCATCGCCCTGATGATGGAGGCAGTATGACCTCTGACACATTGGTTAACATCGACCAGACTACACAGCGCAACAACCCAGAAGACAGAAATTTTCATACTCATCGCCCTGATGATGGAGGCAGTATGACCTCTGACACATTGGTTAACATCGACCAGACTACACAGCGCAACAACCCAGAAGACAGAAATTTTCATACTCATCGCCCTGATGATGGAGGCAGTATGACCTCTGACACATTGGTTAACATCGACCAGACTACACAGCGTAACAACCCAGAAGACGGAAATCTCTCTTTCATATTTCTCTGAAAATTCTTACTGACACTGCCAGACTTGTATTATTATTTAATTTCTTTCTAAATTTACCAAGATCTGGTAACCTAGTTACTAGCTACATATTCAAATAATATTATGTTACATTATAGAATATATATATATATATATATAGATATATATATATATATATTTATATATATACCTTTTTGGTATGGCATTTAAATTCCTGGGTCTATGTGAACATAAGGATTTAATTGGAATCTGAACCTCTCAAAGTGCTGCATGTTACAAAATATAATGTATTTACTGCATTTCTAAGTTACAAACTCATAATAAGAACACTGTTATTAAGAATGAACCTATTTACTTGCACATAGAGTTTTATAACAATCAGTCTTTATTCTGTTTTTTTAATATATATTTTAATTGATTATTCTTCAAATTTAACCTCATACCACAGGTTTACAGTGGCATAAAATCTTGGAGTTGAATGTATTTGTCTTAGAACTGCTACAGGTATGTTTGTTTAGTCTGCCAATCCTCATACTGAAACGAATAGAATCTTTCTTTTTGGCGTTGGTCTGACTACATGACAGTTTATCAACAATGAGTTTTTTTCAAATAAGAAGATTAAAAATAGCCTAAGGCATACAAGTTCATGTTTGGAATAAACCCCTTCAGCAGATATATATATATCATGAATGAGTAAGCTTCATCACAAGTTTATTTCAGCTGTGACTTAGTTTGGTCCAGCAGATGTCAAGAGGCCAGTGTAATATATTTAATTTGAATCAAGAGCTTTCTATCAGTCATAGGATGTCAATTTAATTCCACTCCTTCCAATGTGACTGAGTTCAACTGAGAAATCAAATCAGCTTGAAATGTGTAAACTCTGCAGTGAGTAAACAGGACAAGATTATGAGTTATTTATACAGCTATGCGGTCAGTCTAATATTAACGTGATTCTAAGTGTGTTGAGGCACGAACAGTTTGGTTGCACAACATCTAAGAGTTCAAGCCTGATAAAATAGACCTGAACAAAGCTTATCTGATGAACAAATCTTCCAACCACCTATAAGGGTGTCTAAACAGGGTAGTATGAGGCCAGACAAATAGGGTGAACATAACCAATATCCCACATGAAAAATATGATGTGAATGATAACAAGATGATACCACCCCCATTTGTATTTGATGGAGAGTCCAAGTAGGGACAACCCACAGACAGTCCATCAGTTCACCGGTGACACAATTGGCAAAAGACAGAATGTGGCACCCCACAACTACAAGAACTCTAATCCAAATAGCATTTTTGTGTACTCCTACACTTCTCCAACAATTTGGCATCATGCAATGCCAAATTGAGCCAGACAGTAAGTTTGTTATAAATTATCAACAATTAAGTAAAACATAAAATAAATTCATATATGCAACTACATACCTCAACAGTATAACATCCAGAAAATTTATTGCAGAAGACAGAATATAAAATGCCCCAGAAAATGTCAGCAGAGTTGCATTGTAGACAAATGTGTAGAGAGGAGAAGCAGCAATTGGTGTCAGTGCCTCTACCACTGAAGTCAATGCAAACACTGTACCTATAAACATTATGCACATAACCTGTAAGTTTACAAGTAATGAAAGTTCTGTTTTGTTTTGAGTTTTCAAGCTGAAGTTTTAAAGATAAACCAGTCATGTTTAAAACACATAAATGAGTACAGATCCAACACAATAAAGACCAAACTCCTTCCTCTAGCAGATCCTTCTTCTTTATTACGCTGTCTCCTTTTACAGGAGGTTGGCGACATATTATGAACAGGATTCTTCCATCCTTTTCTCAGACTGGGACCTGTTCATATATATGTTTTTTTAGGCAGGTGATACAGAATTTCAGACTTCTTCTGTGTGTTTGGGGTATGCAATAATTGTTTGGATGCCACGGAGAAACCGGGGAAGCCCCGGAGGAAAACTGTGTTGCCTAGACCACGGCCTTGCCCAACACAAGTTATGAATTCGGGAATCGAAACCCAAGACCCCAGGATTACAAAGCCAGCGTTCTAACCGCTAGACCATAGCAGATCCACAGGTTGCCAATGATTCCATATTAATACTTATAATGTACAGAAGCATATTGTATACATCATTTGTTGACTGTATATAATCTCCCTTTGCATTAAAAGCACTGTTCCTAGCAGCACTAAACCAAGTTTGTTTTAAACCTGTGCCATGCATTTCCTTAATGAATCATAATAAAACTGTTTACTAAAATATAAACTCTCTAGTAAAACAACACAAGCCTGCAAAGAAACCCGACTCAAGTCAGTCCCCAATTTAAGCAACAAGTTTCCTCCATGATTATTACAAAACACTGTGATGCAATAAGACCAAATAAACATTTACAGATTATCTTAAGATCAAAACCATTTTAGGATCCAGTAGCACTAAAAACAAAACAATGCTCTGTCAGTAACCAAAGCCTTCATCTGCTAATTCAACAGCACTGAGAAGTAAAACATAAAAAAGTTTGTAATCAGTAACGAGCAAAAGATATAGAATTAATCTAGAATTCCAGAATTTAAAGTATGGCAAAACTTACCTATGTCCTCTAATGGCACAGTTTTTGAGATAATTGAACGGCAGAGTGAACCAGAAACACCCCCAAGAATACCAACAGCACAACCTTTGAAAAGATCATATTCTATGTTACAAATTTCCCAGTTAACTATTTGTATATAAAAGTGTAAACAATATATAAAATCTTCATAAAAGTGAAAATACTGGCAGCAAACTTTACAACCCATAAGTCAGAAGAATTCAGGCCTCTATAACTAAAAAAAATTATATTCATTTGAGTTACAGAAAACACTGATGAAATGTTTCTTACTTTAAACCATTTTTAACATCTGTTACCTTTGGAATAAATAAAACAACTAAATTTTACTGGATAAATTTTCATAAAATGTGATGTAGATGTATGTTAATACCTGTAACTTTGATTTGGAGCCACATCAGTCCAGTGTTGCTATCAAACAGAGATATAAATCCCGTTATTGTCTCTTTAAAACCCAAACCTCTTATTCTGATGAAAAATTATATAGCTAACTTATGATAAATAAAATGTATCCTTTAGCTGTACTGATGCGCCAGAGTTCACAAAATTTTCTATACTATAATTGATCACCATGTCACACCAATCAAATCTTCTCCAGTTGTTTTATTTTTGTACGCTTTTCAACAACAATAATGTTGATGAAAACAATTTTCTGTTTCCTGTGCAATTACCTAGTGTTGATGATTTCTAAAGATTTACATTAAATAGAACATGGTCACACATAGAACTTCAAATCATTTACACTAATTCTTTTTGCAGATCAACACTATGTTTTATGTCCTGATGTTCTGTCCTTTGCCGTTTGGGTACAATTATTGGGTTATCACTTCCAGAGACAAATGAAGAAAGTACATAAAAACTGATGCAGTGCTTAAAGCTGAGCTATGAAATCTGGAATAGAAACAGTTCTACGTGGTATTGATTTAAGTTTACTTCTGATACAGCTAAAGTCACACCTACCAACATACAAGTACCAATCCTTTGGGGCCAAGCCACAGATGAGTGTTTGACCACACTTTGTAAGGAACACACATGACGCAAACATGCTGTCTGGGATTCTGAGCCATACACTGAAGATATACATACCAGCTACAGTTCCTGTAGGAAACAGTACAAATTTATTTAACACAGACAGGATATAAAGGTGTCCATAATTAAGAAAATACTGAGGTCTGAAATAAAACAAAAGCAAACAGCAAAGGTGTTCTACAAACTCAATCAAAATTTATAAAATTACCCAAATTATAACAACAGAATGTCATTACTATCCTATGAAATCCTTTTAAAAAATAACCGTATGTACTGTATCAAATTCTATATAAAATACAAACTATCAAATTTGGTATGACAGAAGAGTTATTTGCCTGCATTCAGCGTGGCTGGTGTGAGATCGACAGATGAAAGAAAGTAAGGACAATACATTTTCTGATGAACTTACCAAATACTGAAATCAGTGTTGAAAGACTACCAAACTGTGTAAATGTTCTGATATCCCAACCAAATTTGTCTCTTGTATAAAGAAATGACACAGCACTGTCACCTACAAAACAAATCCATGTCAGAATCAACCCAATGGTAAACAGATTATATTATAATTTAAAGCTCACCCAATCAGAAGATGGGAATGTTGGACTAAATGACCAGATATACATCTATTTCAAGAATGACAGTTTCTATGAATGTAACACAAGTTACTTAAGCACTTGTGCATATATTTGAACCATTTTGTTTGTTAGAATTGTTGCATGTCACACTTTGTATTTATATTATAATTACTGTAATACTGATAAAGTGTATGGATTGATTTAAGATTCACAAAATGTTAGGATAAATACATAAAAATTGGATAAAACAAAAGTAATGTATGCATAATTGATTAATGAATAGGTGAACGTGTGTGGAAATGTCTACCTTTGGAAACAGACAGTCAATTAACATCAGTAACCATAACCAGACCAGAGTTAAAATTCTTTAAAAAAAAATTATAGTTTCATTTTTTAAGAAATGAGGGGGATTCATTAGTGTATATTTTAAGATGTACCAAAATTTTTCAAGAGGAATTGAAGCAAACCATGGACCTTCGAAATATAAATCTATGGTGCTAATCACTTCAAGAAGTTCAGTAACATAGAAAAATATCTTATCCTTACCTTCCATGGTAATGACACATGTGGACACAGCTATGATGACAAGGAAGATAATGGCTCGTCCATAGTGTTCTCTTCTCTTGCAGCAGGTGGTAATCATCCTAATGACTAACTGCTTATCAAACAGGCTGCATAACCCTCTACTGGAGCTTCCTACCTGCACAGTTTGGTGAAAGACAGCGAAAATTTTATCAAAGCTGCAGATGCTATCTATCAGACCCTTCACTACTGAACTGACATATCAAAGTTGTGGTGAGAATAAGAAAAGTGTGTTTAGGTGCATGTTCCTTCTCTCCTTTGAGCTAATATGAGCTGAAATTTAACACTAAATAAGTCAGTCAATGATGGATATGTGATAAAAGAGACACTGAGAGACTAAAATATTAAACATGGACAATTCAATGAAGGCATATTACACATACACAATAATTTCCATTACAGAGACAGGGTAAGGATGAAATATCTAAATCTTGATTTGTTTTTGGCTGATTGTGATAATGACTGTTATCATCATGATGAGCACTATCACTAACATCGTCATTATGGTTACTAAGAGTAGGGAATGCTAATGAATGTGATGTTTTATATTGTACATTCTTTTTGCATATTGAGATTTCAGTAGTTTGTGAAATAGAAAATAGTAGGTTGACACATGCTGTATGTATGACTCCACTAATAACTCTGCCTTAACTGAAACAGATTCAAGAAACTTCATAACAGGATCATGCCACTGCAAATTACAGTGATGACAAATTGTTTAAATCTCAAATATAAAGACTGAGATGATAGTTAACACTACCATAATTTGTATAGGGTCATGGGAAATATATATATTTATAAATCTTGTGTAAAATATTTATTTGTATACTGAAAAGTTCCAGTATGGTAATATCACAAACTTTTGAGTTTATATTCATAAAACAGGTGTACACCAACATTCACCAGGAGGTCATGTCACACCTTGTGCTAATTAACCTCTACCATATAGGAAAAGGGAATATAAAATTTCATGCTATGGGGTGGGTGGCCAGATTGTAATTCAAGGGATTTAAGAGTTCAGCAGTATGCTACTGCAACATACTGAGTGTAAGCCACGATGTATAGCTACTAAAAATTAATAAATTTGTTCCAAGAAATTGTAATACAACTAACTCCTTTCTGCCTATTTAAACACTTATTTTCCGTAACAATTCTATAAAAATACAACTGAAAAAATATGCCAAATTATAGAATACTATATACAAATTTTCACTTGCCCTTTATCCCCTGCTATAATTACAAAGCTAGTCAGAATTCAAATAGTGATTCCCGTTTTATGAGTGAACACACAAATATCAATCAGTGCACCTGTTGGATACTTCAGTCTGAAGGGCAACTGACTATATCATCAGGTTAATGGATAAGAACATTCAGTTCACTTACATGACTTACGTGTACAGACTCCGGTATGAATATCACACACAAGTAGCCCAGCAGGTAAAATGTGGCACTTGTTGCAAACACAGTAAGATACCCGTACTGCCCCGCTATGAAAAACAATGGGGCACTGAGATAGGCCCCTACTACTAACCCACCAAACAAGCTGGCATCTAGCAATCCCATCCTGCAACAAAAACGGTGCCAACAGCCATAGCAGCTGAAACATCTCTAAACCCATGCAGTGTGAAATATATGACACATTGTTTCATACTGCTTCAATTGTAATCTGGCATTCAACAATTCCATTATTTTCTTTTCAGACACAGAAAGTGTTCCACAAGCTTTTCTAAGAATGACTGATAATTTATACGGAGTCAATGTTTTTCTTAATTGACTGCTATCGTTTTTCTTCTGAATCACCATAATGTTGAACAGAACTTTCCACCCACTCACTTACTAATTTCAGTCCTTCTATTACCATTGGTCAATGTTTACCTGTACTACTTCATATAGAACATGCTAAATTATTATGTTTAATCATCGACCAATCTTATGTCTTCAGGTTTCCCAACCATGTAATCTTCATCCAATTACCTTCAAAACGTTATTCCTCTATTTTGGATCAATCTATTTCAATTGGCACTTTGGCTCTGTTTATATGCAGTTTGATGGTTCACCTGAACTTGTTCCTTCCAGACAGATATCTTCCAAGATTTCTATCTTCTGGGTTGTTGCGCTGTGTAGTCTGGTCGATGTTTACCTACATTTCAGAGGTCATACCGCCTCCATCATTCATCGCCCTGATGACGGAGGCAGTATGACCTCTGAAACGTTGGTAAACATCTACCAGACTACACAGCGCAACAACCCAGAAGACAGAAATCTTCATACTCATCGCCCTGATGATGGAGGCAGTATGACCTCCGAAACGTTGGTAAATATCTACCAGACTACATGGCGCAACAACCCAGAAGACAGAAATCTTCATACTCACCGCTGTGAAAACCTCAAATCTTACAAATATCTTCCACTACATCTGCACTGAATTTTTGTTTTTTATCACCACATCACAGACACTTATCCATATTAACCAGTAAATAGAAAATTTTCAAAAACAATTAAACATTGACATGTATTATTTGAATGGTTAAGTATTCACAGAACCAAGATATAAAACTACGTGACTAGAAACGCATACTACAACACTATAACTTGGTGGTGGCAATGCACACAAGAGCAACAACTGAACAACCAACTATTAAGCAGTAGTGTGTGCATTTGGCCATCACAGTGGATTTCCAGTTAAACATTTTTAAACATGTGAAATAAAGCCAGTGTTAAAAATATAAGAAGAAAGATATGAATGAGTTTTTTATGTCAATATTTCAAGAAGTACTGAGATGGTTTTAAGGTTGTTTGAAGGATGTTGGACGGTTTAAAAGTTTACAAAAACAAGTGGGATGGCATTTTTCTACATCCTCCCTTACTTCAAACATGATGAAACACACAAGATGTGTGAGAGTTTGTAACATGATAATTATTTTATGGGACTGATAGTAGGCCTAATGCAAAATCCCGTTGCAAGGGGATGATAATGCACAACTCATGTGATATATTTTCACATACCTTCCATGCCTGAATCTCTTGCAAAAACAACCTGGGGATGTGCCGTGTTATGGTGACGAGGTATTCACTTAATCATACATCATTCAAAATTCTTCTATGCGACAACTATCTTTGTCAAGTTTGCAGAAAAAATACAGGTAAAAACACAAAATTAATTATTAAGTAAACACCTGAAAGCTCTCTTCTCAACAGTAGTGGTGTCACTGATGTAGGCATAAATCCCTGAGATGATGGTTATCAGTCCCCCACTGAGAGCCACAGGAATACTGGCAACCAGGAAGTATATTGGATTCAGATCAGGTACCACAGACAGAAAAGCGTATATTACATACAAAAGGCCATATCCTGCAATGAACAGAGAACAAAATGAGTAACAGGGGCCAAGTAGCCAGTCTCAAAACAAATTTGTGAATCACATTCTAGCTCTGGCAAAGGTCCCCTTCTAATACATCATCATTGCTATCAAACAGTAAGAGTGCAACAGTACAGCTCACTTATTCATTGCTGAGATGGGAACAACTAACACTAGCTCCTCAGAAACAGAAATATTATTGGATGGAAAAATCTGGACTACAATTGAACTGCCTACTGAACACATACAAATACTAACCAATGTGACTTTGTTTGACAGGCAACACTTATTGAAGTACTACTAGATGTTCTGTATGCAAAACATCACTGACAGCATCATCTGGAGCTGCAGAACTTAAGACTGTATCTAAGCATACAGGATTAAATGTTTAAAAACATCTGGGAACTGGGCAGAACCACAATGAGTTAAAATATTTTCTGAACTTCCCTCTCACACTGAAAAGTTTTACAGAGTTTAACCAGTGCAAAATAAAAACTATAACAACATACCAAACATCGGCCACAATATGAGTGGCTTCCTGCCATGGTGGTCACTCC